TATAAAACACTCCTGGATCAAGTAATGACTACAGTAAGCTAAGACAACCTGGAAGTCAATTTACAGCATTGTATTTTTGTAATTGACATCTGAGATCCTCAAATTTTGCGCTGTTAAAACTCATTATAATGATAAATTAATTTATACAATCTCCACTCTCAAGAAAAAAATTAAGGAAAAAAATGGGCTGTGGACTGAGTAAAAATTTAGCATATGCTACAGGTAGCCCTCTGTTTACAACAATAATCAGGATGTCAACTTGGTTGTAGAGCAAAGTAGTTATTAAGTGAGAAATCGTGTGATTGCTCCAACTCAACAACTGAAATCCTGGAATTCCTGGTTGTGGGCCCTTAAACTGCTGGAGTTCCAAGAAGCAGGATGATGCCTGAGAGGAATGGGAGAGACTCTAGGAGGCCATGCACACCTCTCCATTGAGGGGCTTAAAATCCTTCTTGCTGAAATCCAAACAGGATTTTCAGACACTGATCAGAGAGAGACACACATGCATGGCCTGCAATGGGCTTCCCAGGGTCTCCCCCATTGCTGAAGCACCCCATGCTTTTTACCTTACTTGCTAAGTCTTCATTCAGGGACTGAGTGGCTCATGACAAGTATAAGTAAGTTCTTGCCATAATGAGCTCGTATGCAAAAGTCACAGCCCTGTTAGGTTTCTTGCCTGGAGATAAGTAAATCAGAAAAGCCCAAACTTTTGTCTCTGGATAATGACTCTTAAACAGTTTTTAATAAATCACAGCTAAGCAGTTCATTGGCATTATTCCATTGCAAAGTTAAACTGCAAGTCTCAGCAGAAAAAAATGTCTATAAACATCTAATGGCAAGATGCAGATAGCTGCAGTAGAAGGACTACTAAAATATGCCTTTAAAAAGATAAATAATACCAGTCTGCCATTTCCCAAATCCCTAGTGGGGCTCATTTTAGAATAATTATGTTTTTTTATTGGAGGTTTGTGTATTTCTTTGTAGGAGTAGGCATTACACTTGTTCACACTATCAAAATATGCCTCACCTTTTGCTTGGACAGTTTAGGCTGCTGACTTGTTCCGACAAAGTAGGAGGAAGTTCTAATCGTGGCCAAGCTTTGCAAGCTGATGTTCATTTAAAAATGCTGATTCCCCTCCCATCTCATAAGCATACAATCTACCACATTTTATGCATTTCCATTTCAGTATTTATATAGTTTTTTAAAAACTAATAATTTCCTTTTACTCAGCAACCACTTCCATCTTTTGTATCTGATAAGGAACAGAATGAATGAATGAATCTATCATTGGAATGAAGCTAATAAGCATACTGTTTTGGTAGGTTTAGGTCCGTGATGGCGAACCTATGGCACACGTGCCACAGGTGGCACCCAAAGGCATTTATGGTGCAGTACAGGTAAGGGGGAGGCGGGGGAAGGATTGCGCACGCATGCGCAGGGGGCATGCACATTGACTTCTGGGTGCTGGCATGTGAGCGTGCAGGCACACACGCACACAATTTCTGGCACAGGAGCCCAAAAAGGTTAGCCACCACTGGTTTAGGTTATTTATTCTGCCATTCCGCCATGCTTGAATCATTATCTCAGGCACTACAGCTTATTTCACCCTTATTATCCCTCTGATTTTCTTTGCTTGTCCCTATGCATCACATAGCACGTTAAGTGCATGAATATGTTACCCTTCATGTCTTTAGATTGTTCCTACCCATTTATAAAGCAAATTCCTTTTAAAGCCCTTCCTCTAATAGGAATGCAAAAAGAAAATTAAGCCATTGTATTCTGGGAGTTGATACCTTGCAAGCTTTTTGTCTTATTTATTGTACAAAGATAAGACCATGGCATAAAGTTCCACATGCATTCCATTCTACAGTAGCTGTTTACTCAGGTTGAAGCAGTCTGATTATCCATTAGAACAACTTCCCGTACAAATAAAACCTACCTATGGAGTTTTTTTCTAAATATTTCAAAAATGACAATTAAAAATTCATCTGCTGTGTAATACAATAATAGAATATGAATCTCCAATTCTAAACATAAGTGCACATCTCCCCCCACCCATATTCTAACCAGTTGTACATTCCTTCCAGTTCACAGAAGAGCCATGAATAAGGGACTGAGAAAGTCTTCATCTAATAACCTGGGAGATATACGGTATTTCGTTTGAAAGGAGGAAAACAATCCAGCTAAGATTTCTATCACATCATATTATTGTCTTTGAATAATTCTTGAAATTATAGAAGATCCTTGCTTTCTGTGGAAATAGAAAGACCAGGAATGTAAGATACAGGTGTAGATGTTTTCCCTATCCACGAATAGCATTACTTACTGGATCGGCGATTCTTCATCATCACAATGGCACTCAGAAACATTAAGATCTCTACTTCCCGCTAAAAAGAAAGCAAAACTGGGTACTTAAGGAGTCAGTAGAAGGGGAGGAGCAAAAAAAAGTTAACTAGACACAAGAACAGAGTTAAATGCAACATCATAGTATAGCTTTTCAACATCATAGTATAGCTGTGGCAAATTAATCTGTGATATCATTACACAGCTGCCCATTTTGAAAAAAAGGCCACAAAGCAAGCAGAAGGATGTGCAATCTTTCAGTATGTGAATACAGCTGTAATACCATACATTGGAATCTAAATATATTTGGGGTATTTATTAAATTATTTACATAATCTGGATGCAATGACATTTTAAGATATTTCAGTAACTGCAATTTATCTGCAATGATGTTCCTATACATTGCACCACTTGTTCAGCGATTGCAGAATAGAATATTATGCTCTTACAGAAACATCCAGATTATAAAATGTTTCATAAGAAATCAATTTAGCCTGATACAAGAATAGATACTTCTGCAGCCTCTTAAACATATGAATTTTAGAATATAAACTGTTGGATTAGACTCCTGTCCCAAGTAATTCAGCAATGTGATCTTAATTGCCAATTAACTGCACAAAGAAGTCTATTACTTTCTCAGCAGATGGTCTTCAGAGGTACTCGCAGAGGTACTCTCTACTATCAAGGTTAAGTCATTGATCCCCATGACATCCATGAATTGAACCAACACTTTTTCTGAAACTATCCAAACTAGTAGTGGCAGCCACATTTGATAAAAAAAATTTAATTGCACATTGGATGAACAAAATATTGCCGGTCCTCATTCTTTCAAGATTAATTTCATTGGGTGACTGCTAGTTCTAGTATTTTGAGAGTGGGAAAGTAGCTTCTCCACTTTATCCATATCACAAATGTTTTGTTTTAAATATGCTTACTAAACCAAAAAGTCCCATATGTTGCAACTTTTCCTCATGGGGAAGATGCTCCAGCCAGGCCGTTAATGGTTGATAGCCCCTTGATAACTGCCCAGTCACCTTATAGGGAGATGGGTGGCATAAAATTTAATAAATGAAAGTCCTCTGTGCCTTCTCCACCTCCGTTATTCCAGATGTGGTCTTATCATTAATCTATATAAGGGTATTATGATATTGGTATCATTGTTTTCAAGACTTTATTGTCCATAACAGGCTGGTTTTTTTAGCAGATGCATACCTTTTGTATATTGAACCTTTCACTTAAAAATGTCCTTAACATGGACATAGACTTCAATTAATTCTTGAAGATACTGAAAATGTACGCTTTTGTTCTGACAAACAGAAACCATTAGCTGGTTCCTGTACAAATCAGAGCTTCTTCACAATATATTGATCAAAGTAACTCATGTGTGGCTCTTCACATGGGCATGTATACACTGAATTAGAGAGAGATTACCCGCCTACTCCGAACCTAAGATTAAAGAAGCCTTTCAAAGCTCAGAAGACGTTCTTGAAAACTTTTGTGGACCTGCAGTGATAAGCTTCCTCAATTAAATATCTGCAATCTCACCACGGATGATGGAAACTTATTTTTCAGCACATTTGGACAATGAATGGATTGCACGACAGGTCTCCGCTTACTGGGGCGTGCCACGAGCGAAGCCCACATACCCACATCCCGAAATAAGTACTAGAAATTTAAAACAGGTGAAAATCTCCACCACGTTAACCGCTACACTTAAGGATCACATCCCTAGAGGCGAGAAAGGAAAACTGCCCCATACTACAGAGGGACTTCTCAGAGGCGGACCGTCATTTCTGCACTCATGCTTAACCGACTGTATGACCTTTTAGATGCCGGAACATGCTCCTCCAAACGCAGCTTCGAACCAGTAAATTCAAGGCCTCACGACCATCGGCTCTTGGGAGACGGTCAAAGTAGGAAGCTGCTCGGATCCCGCTTGTAGCGTGATTCCTGGGTGAAATGCGGGAGCCCCGAGGCGCCCTACCCAGGACTCCGAAGCATGAAAAGGCCTGCAGGCACTTGCCGAAGAAGCAGACCCAGGAAGCGATGCAAGGCCAAACCCGATGCAGGCCACCAGGAGAACCGCCTGTGGGTCTCCGGAGGGCGATCTTACCCAGTCGAAGTCGCAGGAGTTCCCGTCTTCCCGCTGGCTGGGCAGTCCGTGGCATAGCGGTGGCACCTTCCGCACCAACAAGAAGGCTGCCGAAAGGAGGAGGGAGAGCGGGTAGTAAGGCTGCGCCAGCCAGCGGCAAAGCCCAGGCACCGAATAGAAGAGGGCCAACAAAGGGGCCAAAACCGCCATCTTCACCTCACGCCGACCAAGATCCGTCGCAGGACGGCCTCCCGCCCACCCCGAGTCCCCTTCTTTTGCTTTTGATTGAGCGGTGGGTGACAACGTCGATCAAAGGAAAGGCGGGCCTCCGTGGACAACGCTATGCCCTCATTGGCTGGGAGAGTATCGCACTGAAACTCTTCAGAACGGCAACCGAGGGACGGCTTTCGCTCTCTGACGTGTAACATTGACGTAATTCCGCTATTTAAAAGGATCTCGTTCTGCTAAGCAACCTATCGTATCATACCCTATCAGTTCCAGGTAAGTTTAGCCAATCGTATGCAGAGGAGGGGTCCCCGCCTTCCAATGACGCCAGAGCAAACGTCAGATGCGAAGCCAATAGGAGGAGACTGCGCAAAGCACGCCGGGATGATGGAGAATTTTTCTGCTCTCTTTGGAGGGACAGAACCTCCTCCGTCTACAACAGCTGCCGCGCTAGGCTTTGGCCCAGGAAAACCGGGAGGACCCGGCACTGGACAGCCTCCTGTACCAACGGTGACTTCGGTCGGAGAAGAGGCAGCACGCAAAGCGGCGGCAGCCAGCGGTCCTTTTTACCTAATGCGCGAGTTACCAGGTAGTGGCTTGTAAGGGGCGGGCTTCAGGAGCTCCGTAACCAACCGCCGCCTAGAGGCGGGCGTTGCTGTTCTGGTCCCTGTTGTTTGACGGATTTTATACATCACGGGGGAATGTGCCAATAGAATGGCTCGCTGCGGCTGATGGGCAGTTGCCCCGCCTTTGCAGGGACTCGGGCCCAGCCTCTGTAGAGGCTTGACGGCTGGGCTGAAGCGCCAAGTGGGTGGCAACTCGCGCGACTGGCAGTTGCTCGGGCCACTGAACGAGCCGGGGAATGGCCTCGTTTGCGTATCTTTGGCGTCCTCGAGTTAAAAGCCATCGAAGTTTCTTGTGGGAACGGGGGTGGGCGAGTTTTGTGGCATTTGTACGAGAGTAAAGGAGCGTGTGGCCGCTTGGTTCGTCCCGCAACTGTTGCTTCTTTGTGACTCCTTTGGGCTACTACAGGCGCTGCGTGTCCCTTCAAGAATCTGCCCTCCTCTGAAAAGTTGTACAACCCACCTTAAGTGAGATGCCTAGTAGCCATGCCTGTTCGTGAAATTTCTATCACTGAGAGCAAATATGCATCGGGTTACAAAGCTAATCATTTTCTCCTGATGCATCCACTTACGTAAGCAGGACTACAGGTAGTCCTCTGCTTAACAACAGTTCATTTAGTGACCGATCAAAAAGTTACAGCGGCATGGAAAAAAGTGACATGACTGTTTTCCACATTTATGATCATTGCAGCATCCCCTTGGTCAGGTAATCAAAACTTGGACACTGGCTCGTATTTATGACAGTTGCTGTGTCCTGCGATCACGTGATCCCCTTTTGCAACCGTCCGACAAGCAAATTCAAGGGGAAAGCCAGATTCACTTAACAGCGGTGCTACTAACTTAACAACTGCAGGGATTCATTTAACAAATGTGGCAAGCAAAGTCATAAAATGGGGCAAAATTCACTTAAGAAATGTCTCACATAGCAACATAAATGTTGGACTCAATTATGGTTGTAAGTCAAGGACTACCTGTATTTTAGCTTTGGAAAGTTGTGCAGTGTTCAATTTTAGAGTTATTTTGGATCACGAATCTCTGGGACACTGAGAAAAAAGGGAACTGAAAGTAGCAGATGGTCAGCAAATTGGCATATACCTACAAGTGGGTTAATTGATGGTTAGTATGGGGGAAGTACATCCAGTAAGATTACATGCCACTGGGTGGGCTTCAGAAGAAGGGTATAAAACAAGGGTCTTCAAACTTGGCAAGTTTAAGACTTGTGGACTTCAACTCCCGGAATTCCTGAGCTAACATGACTGGAGGAGAAATTCTGGGAGTTGAAGTCCACAAGTCTTAAAGCTGTTAAGCTTGAAGACCCCTGGTATAAAAGAAGGGGGTAAATCTCAAATCATGGCCACTGATAGTAGGTATCCTTTCTGGGGTTAGCTACTGTTTCTGGACCTCATTGCAATGGGTTATTGATATAAGTAATGTTATGATGGCTTTTCATGTTCCAAATTGCTCATGAAATAAATCTCTGATCTTAAAGTAAGATTTATTGCTTGTGGTTTGTCTATGTTCCTCTTTTATTGGGATATTTTTATAACAATCTAAATGAGATGGTAGCCACTAGAGATCTTCACAGCATCTCTCTTCCTCTTTCAGTCATATACTCACTTAGAAAGCATTTTGCTTCCAATTTAAGAAACATTAGGGTCACTAGGTAAGGAGAGGGTGTGTGTTTTACTTGGTTTTTTAGCTTTAATATTTTCTTGAGTATAATGCATCAAACGATCTTATGTTAAGGCCAGGCTGTAAATGTTTTAAATAATTCAATTCTCACTGCTAGTATTTCAGGTCATATAAAATAGGATTTGTATCATTGTCATTGTTATTTACCTGGTTTCAAAATCAGCTTCTACCAAATTTTAGGGGTTTCTTAAATTTTTTATCAGTGCTGTTAATTTAGGCAAAACAATCAGTAACATTGTTACTTTTCAATGTTGTTCATTTCTTGCCAGGTACCACAGAACTAACGGGAAGCACAAATTTGATCACCCACTACAACTTAGAGCATGCCTACAATAAATTCTGTGGCAAAAAGGTGAAAGAGAAGCTCAGCAACTTTCTGCCTGATCTGCCAGGAATGATCGATTTGCCAGGCTCACATGATAACAGCAGCTTGCGTTCTTTAATTGAAAAACCTCCCATTTGCGGTAGCTCATTCAACCCTATCACTGGTACCATGTTAACAGGGTTTCGTCTCCATGCTGGCCCGGTGAGTTATGCTTTGGATGAAAGACATGTTATACTAAAGGTTTTTAACTATTATAAACAAAACACACAGTGATGCCTCGAATGAAAAAGAAACTTGCCAGGCTGGTAACTAAGAATATTACAGGTTTGTTCGTTATGGTCTGACAATTATCAGTTTAGAATCTGAATATAAATTCACCTCTAAGCATATTGATTATCAGCCATATGGCAGTGGACATATTTAACTACTTTACAACCTAGATGCAAATAAATAAGTAATTTAAATGACAGAGACTACAGTGCAAAAGTCTTGAATACTGTGTCTACTTTATTAAATATTGACCATGTTGTACCTTATAAAAAGGGAATTCAGGGTGTTCTGGGCAGTGTGGATGCTATAGTATAGACACCTTGCCAGCCCAAGAATCAAGTGGACTGGAATCTTTTAGAATATGGTATATAGCATGTGACTATTGATTATGGTACTGTATAGGAATGAGGAAGTCTGAGTTCTCCTTCTATCCTATGTATGGAAGCAAGCCAGATTCTTTGGGACTAGTCAGTCCTAGGAAAAAGGCAACAATAATCAACTTCTGAAAACGTTGCCAGAAAATGTCTAGAATAGCTATGTACTTGCCAGGAATAAAGACTGATTTAAAGGCAACCACTGCCCCCCACCACCACCCAAAAAATAACTCTGGTTATACTCTATCAGAATAGACTTTTAAGTAAGGTTGAAGATAGGAAGAAGTTCCAGACAAGGGGGGTAAAAGAGGTTATCCTTTAAAAAGGAATTGTTGAACCTTTCTTTCACCTTATATTTATAGAATCTGTACATATTTATATTTCATATTTCTAAACAGTCCATTTCCCTCAAAGAGGGTCTCAGCATATGATATACTGAGCCATAAAGTTTGCACAGTACAGTGAAACAAGAACCACAGTGGCTATGTTAGCACAACATGTCTAGTTGTTCAAATAGAAGCAATAGAAAATGATAAATCCTTGTTAAAATTGTCATCTCAAACAACCAGCAAATCTTTTTTTGTTGATATATTTTTCATAGCTATTGGATTGGTCAAAAATGGTAATTATCTGTGATAAGTATTCCTAAGAGTTATGAGAGATCTGATCATAAGAGACCCTGTATCTGCATTTCATGTATTTATTCATTACATTTATATCCTGATTTTCTCTATCCTCAGAACAATCTGAGACGTTTGGGCGGAGGATAAGTGATAAGTCTAAGGTTACTCAAGTAAATTTCTCTAGCTGAGGGTGTAGGTTTTCATGAGTTTTCCTCTCTCTAGTTCAATATTGGAGTGCTATCCTGTGCTGGTTCTCATTTTGAAGCCAGAAAGCTTTGCAGTGCTGCATTTGTAAAGTTGGAAGCTGGAAGTGATGAAAATCTAGATTAGAATAATTTTGCTTTAGCACATAAATCCTTAATTTGCAATAAGCTAAGTGAACATACAGGTGGTCCTTGCTTAATGACCAGTACTTCAATAACAGTTCAAATTTTTAAAAAAATTAATTTTAATTTTTAAAAAACAGTTCAAATTTATGATGGTGCTACTTACAACTGGTCCTCATATTTATGTTTACAGTGTCCAGCCAGTCATGGCCCCCAGCTCACAATTATGACATCACAATGTTCCACAGTATGTGATTGCCATTTGCAACCTTCACTGCCAGCTTCTAACAAGCAGAGTCAATGGAGAAGCTGGCACGAGGTTGCAAATGGCAACCATGTGATGTTGCACTTCATAACAGCAATCAGAAGTGCCAGAACTGTTGTCACTAAGTAGTAGAGTCATATGATGTCATGCTTTACGAACATTTCACTTAGCAATGGAAATTCTGGTCCCAATTACCATTGTGAAGAGTTCTGTACTATCTGTAGTTAAAAATTTTCTAATGGAAAATTTGATGGAGAATATTATTTGATCAGCTTGCAAAAAATATAGACCTGTAAGTCTATTATATGTGTTTTCTTCTATGGTACTTGGGAAGTTCATGTATTGATGTGTCTTTCTGTTTTTGTTACACCAGTTGCCAGAACAATGTCGCTTAATGCACATCCAGCCACCTAAGAAAAAAAATAAGCATAAACATAAGCAGAGCCGAACCCAAGACCCTGTCCCTCCAGGTGAGAAGTCTATTTTTTAGGACATATAATAATAATGTCCCCACACACATCTTGCTGATACAGAATTGTTCAGTCTGATAGCCTAAATTGAATCACTCCCTCCTTCTAAAACAAATATCTTCTTCAATTGCTCTCTCTTATTTTACTAGAAACGCCCTCGGATTCTGATCATAAGAAAAAGAAGAAAAAGAAAGAGGATGATCCTGAACGGAAAAGAAAGAAAAAAGAGAAAAAGAAAAAAAAGGTAAGTTGGAAATAGTTTTCAGCTGTTGATCTTGATATTCATTGTAAAACAACAAAGTTAAGTACTTTGCTTAGAGTTTGGCATCGGATCTAAGATAGCTTTTTGGGCCTAGAAAATCTACATGGCTGTTTTTATTGCCTCTGGAATTTCTTATTTGTGTCTGTCTGTGTGTTTTTTTTTTTAAATAGAATCGCCATAGCCCTGAACATCCAGGTGTGGGCAGCTCACAAGCCAGTAGCAGTAGCAGCCTCCGGTAGGATCTTACCCAAGATTATATTAAAGAGAGTTCTCCATGAAATGCTACAGACATATTGAGAGGAGGAGGAAGAGGAAGAATAAGGACAGGAAAACCACAACTACCTTGTATATCTCCTTTTCATCTTTTGGAGCAGTATATAAAAGATTATATTGGATGGAGCTTCAGGACTTCATAGCTTTCTCTACAAAGAACACGGACTTTGCTTGGGACATGGAAGCTGAGGCCTTTATATGGAAATTATGTACTGTATATTATTTTGTGTTTTGTAAAAAAATGATCCTGACTAAGTTGGGATATGTTTGTTTCATATTTTAATTAAATCTCTGTTGGAGGAGATGCTAATGATTTTAAGGAATCCTGAGTACTGGACTTTTCCTGTGTTGTATTGCAAACAGTTCTGAATTATTTTGCAATTAATAAATTGTGAGCAGAAATTCCAGAAGTTGCTTGAGATATAGGTTGGATAAGTAGTGTGATAAAAACACCTTATGTGACTTAAGCTATTTTGGGTAGAGGAGAAGAAAAGACAAAATTTTAAATTGGCAGGAAAGACAATATAAGGTTGGATTTCACTTCCATGTTATTAGTTTTGTGAGGAGTAGATCTACTTTAGAATAACATGAACAACTAATTCAAAGTATTGACCAAAATCCATGTAACAGTAAAAGATGTCAATAGGAAATGATAATCTGTGAATTAGAGGACAAGATTGTTGTAAAATTCTTTTCTTCAAAGAATCACTTATAAGGTAAATATTTTTCTACACATTCTCTTGTTTAATTAAAGAAGTAGATTTAATTTTTGCCAGGAGGAAGGAGAAATATGTTGGGAGATTTAAATTGAATATATAAAGCCATTTCCAGAAACCTTATTTTTCATTCCTTCTGTTAAGCATTCTTTGCTCTCTTTGACCTCACTACCTCATTACAAGTATGCTGGCAAAAATTATTACTTAAAACTATTTAATTTGCTTCTTTCCTGGTTCTAAACATCAGAGAGAATTATAATCTGGCTCCATTTTAAAATAACTGGGGAAAATATGAAGCAAAATGTTCATGATTGGGAAATATTTGCTCTTTGCTGCCTCTTCTTGCTTGCAAAAGAATAGTAAGGCTTTCAGCAATGCCTCTTATGATCAATTTCATGTAATATGGGAGAACCCTACTAAAATGCCTCTGCAATTTCCTTCAAATAAAAATGTGAGTGGGCATTTAACATAGGAACAGTACTGTATATGGGCAACTAGGCAGCAGCTTTTCATAGGACTCCTCTGCTTTGAGCAAAAAGACAGGTGGGCATTTTCATCTCTTTCCACATCTGCAGCTGATTTTGTTTTAGATAAATCATAACGCTATCATAAAAGTAGCTTGGATGAACTTTCACCCCAATATTGTGGCCTTGATTTAAAAAAATAACTTTTTTTAACCAAAGAAAAGGGTTGGAAAATACTTTCAGGGACCTTCCCTATCATATTTGGTTACTGAAAAATTGAAAAAGTTTCTTTTATAGCATTTGAATAGCAGATGGAGATGCTTGGGTTTACAGTATCTAAGTTTTCTAATGATTGATTCTATATTCTAAATGACTTTTATGCTCCTAGCTTGTACAGAGCAGCTTGCTTCATCCCAAAATAAATATGTTCCATGAAATAGAGAAATTGTTACACCAATTTCAGGTGCAAACTATTATTCCTTGACTAATTGGCTTAAAGGGTCAAAGAAGGGTAGGTTTGGTAACTGATGTATCTTATGCAACAGCCTTAAACATGGTTATTTATGCTCTTATATCCTTCATTGATTCAAATAGGAAGGAAGTAACATAATAGAAATACAAGTTTACAGCTGGTTATCTGAGGAGAAAGAAGGAGTTGAGTTCCTTCCCCCTTCCTTTTCCCTCTTGAATTGATGGTAAGCTATTTAAGCAACTGAAAGGTTAATTCAAACCTATAATCACAAAACCAATGATAGCAAATTGCGAACAGCTGTTGCTATACTTGTTATAACTGTTGGAAATTGTTGAGAGTCTGCTTGGGCAGAGAGGGGTTTGTGCTAAGTGAACTATAAAAGCTGAATGAAAAGTAATGCCTTCAGTGTTATGAAACACTTATGGATGACAGTTATGTCTATGCTAGAAACTGGTGTGTTCTTTATCATCTGTTATTTCACTTCAGTTGTTAGGAAGTTGCTGTGAGGAAAAAAAATTGAGTAGGCATTGTTTATGAAATGAAAACCTGAAGTGGGTAATCATAATTTAATCAACACCCCATGGTAAAATTTTCAGTTGACGAAAGAGTCTCTCCAGTTAAAATTCACCTCCGAATTAGGTTGTTTATGGCAATCAGCATGTTGATAAATAAATCCTGTGTATCACTGACCTTCCCACCACCACCACCACCGTATGTGGGAAGAGCTGGTTTGTGTGATCAAGAATGAAGCAGGTGACCTGTCAGCAACCTAAGAGTTTCAGGTGCAAATGATCGATAAACCTGTTGGGTCACTCAAAAGAAATTACTATCAAGCTTGGCATTTCGCACAAGAATATATGGGTCCCATTGCTGTATTGATATTTTCCAGTATCAAAAGCACATGACAGATTCCTTGCAAGTTGAGGGAGAGATGATAGCTTTGAGTAGTAAGAAGTCAACAGTCCTGAGTGCTCCTACCATCCCTGGGATCACATTTGCCCTTATTTTCCACAGTCTTTCTAGTTTCTTCTAAAGGCCTGGTACTTTTCCAGTTTCTCATACTTCAGATTCCCCCCCCCCCATCTTTAATATAACACATAAGCAGTAAATTTCAATTGAAAATGCAAACATTTTTTTGATAGGGGGAGGGAATAAAAAAATTGGAATAATGTGACCACATAAGTGTTCATGCCTTCTTATAAGTAGGGTTGTGACATTCAGAATTAATCACATTCAAACTGATGATAAATAGAAGTCAGTACACACCTGCCAGCAATTAAAGTGACTGATCAAGTCCATATAAAGTTCAGCTGTTTTAGTAGGATTTTTTTCTGACATTTACTCAGTTTTGCCTCTTACAGCAAAAGCCATGGTCTGCAAAGAGCTTTCAGAGCATGAAAGGGATTTCATTGTTGGAAGGTATCGGAAGAAATGAGGCAAAAGAGTCCCTGCAGACTTTATCATTGCCAATTATAGGGGGGGCTGTGCTCATCTCTATTTCAAGGGCCATTGAGCCAGTCCCATCCAAAGATGTTTCTGAGTCGTGGCCAGCATGACATCATGGAGTACTGCTATCTTTCCACCAAAGTGATACCCATTTATCTACTTACATTTGCATGCTTTCAAACTTCTGGGTTGGCAGGAGGTAGGGCGAGGATGGGAGCTCCCCTTATTGTGCAATATTTAGGTTTCGAACCTGAGCCCAGTGTCAACCACAGAGTTATCAGGCCACCCATATAAAGTTGAACTGTTCTAGTAGGATTTTTCTGGCTCGGTTGCCTCTTAGAGCAAAAGCCATGCCAGTCAGAAGAAGGGTACAAAAAAATAAATAAATCCAAGGCATTGGATATATCATGGAACACAGTGAAGACATTCAACAAGTAGAGAAAATATGGCACAACAAGAACTGACTGCCCCTCCAAAATTAATGAAAAAACAAGAAGAAAAATGGTCTGAGAGACTGCCAAGAGGTCAACGGCAATATTAAAGGAGCTGCAGGAATTTCTGGCACATACTGATAGTGTCCTAGATGTGACGTATTCTTCACATGCCTGACCTGTGGGGTAGCGGGGGAAGACGGAAACAATTTCTTATAAAGAAAAGTATTTGAATTCAGTTACATTTTGTAAAACATCAAGCCTGACAAAAGCATGTGGAAAAATGTGTTATGGTCTGGTGAGACCAAGGTTTTGGTTAAATTCCAAAAAGTATGTTTGGCCCAAAAATCTTTGGCCAAAAATGTACAGTCTACCCACAGGGATGCATGGTGGTGGCAGCATTATGCTTTAGGACTGCTTTTCTTCAACTGGAAATGGAGGTGCAGGGAATTATGAATAGTTTCAAATATCAGTCAATTTTGGCACAAAACCTTCAGGCCTCTGCTAAAGTGCTGAAGATGAAGACAAATTTCACCTATCAACAAGACAATGACCCAAAGTATACCTCCAAATCAACACAAGAATGGCTTCACCAGAAGATCAAAGTTTTGGAATGGCTCAGCCAGAGCCTGGACCTGAACAATTGAAAATATATCAGGTAACCTTAAGAGGGCTGTACATAGAGAGGCCTTTGCATCATGAGAGATTTGGGGTGCTTTTGCAAGGAATACTGGACAAAGATTCCCAAGGCAAGATGCACCATGCTGATAGGCTCCTAGCCCCAAAGATTGAATGCTGTCATAAATCAAAAGGTGCTTCAACAAAGTTTAAGTGTGTGCATCTTTATGCAGCCACATTATTCTAGGGTTTTTTTCTTCTCCTTTTAAAAATTCAGTTTATTTTTCAGTTGAATTGCATAATGTGTAGCTTGTATAAAGGTGGGAAAAAGACTGAAATGATTTAACTTGGTCTGATTTTTTTAACATCTCAAAAACCTAGCATTTTAATGGGTGTGTAGACTTTCTATATCTACTGTTTGTGTGTATATAGTATATGTATGTAATATTGACTGATAAAGAGATAGAGATATAGATGGTGGATATCCTTCAATATGGCACCAGTTCGTATTACTACATTTCAACACTTAAGCCCAGGCTAAATGAGCAATTGGAAATAGAATATAAAAAAGAGTCGTCTTCTTTAGTTCAGTTTTTTTTTAACACAAAGTAGTTACCAAAGTACTAGAACTGTGTACCTAAATATTAGCAATGCTATAATTATTTTTAATAATGAGATCCTCTCCCAAATTTATTACGCCTAATAGCAAGTTACAGTAGTGTAAAATATGTAAATGATTTCCAACTCAGCAACATCATACCAGAACTGTCCTTTGAAATGGTTTTGCTAAAGTAATGGCAATTTCAATGTCACTTGCAAAATAGCCAGACTTATTCACCAGGTATACTTGATAGTCATAAAAGTTGCTGTACTGTACTTCATTAGCAAGCAGAACTTGGTTACACCTAGTGCAATTAAACCATTTTCTCACTGGCTGGATTTCATTTTTTATGATGTGATATACAGGTAGTCCTTGACCTACGGCCACAATTGAGCCCAACATTTTTGTTATTAAGCGAGATATTTGTGAAGTGAGTTTTGTCCCATTTTACCACCTTTCTTGTATCAGTTGTTAAGTGAATCCCTGCAGCGGATAAGTTAGTAACTTGGTTGTTAAGTGAATCTGGCTTCCCCTTTGACCTTGCTGGTCAGAAGGTCACAAAGGGTGATCACATGACCTTGGGACACAGCAACGGTCATAAGTATGAACCATTTGCCAACCATTTGAATGTTGATCACATGATGATGATGGGGATGTTGCAAAGGTGGTAACTGAAAAATGGTCATAAGTCACGTTTTTCAGTGCTGTTGTAACTTTGAACGGTCACTAAATGAACTGCTGTAAGTCAAGGACTACCTGTACTGTTTGTGCTGAAGTATCTAGCAAAGTTACTTCTGGCTCATGAAAATGCGTGCTTTAATACACATGCCTTTAAGTATACTAGTAAACTAGTATTGTAGTAAACAACTCTTCAAGTATACTGTAACGTACATTCCCCATATAACTACTGTATGTATTTTACATATAAATCAATGTATTTTCATGAGTTGCAATGCTGTGCTAATTTCAGAAAAGTGTTTCTTTTTCTCTTTAATTCATCGAGTAGCTTGACTGCTTCCTTAGCATCCATCTTGATGTTTTCATAGACTGATAGGCAACCTAAGCAGGGGTGGGATTCTACCAGTTTGGACTGGTTTGGGCAAACCGGATGTTAAATTTACATCTGATTCACCAAACCAGTAGTTGAATCGACCGGGCAGAGAACTGATTGCTGGGATTTTTGAATTCCATTCCTGAACCTAAGCTCTTAGAACAGCCAGAGCCATGCTGATTAGGCCAAGGAACCATTCTAAATTAGCATCTTCTCTACCAATTACCAATAATTTGCCTCAAACCTTCAGAAAGGAATGACAAACAGCCATTTTCTTCTTGTTATTCCTGGGCAACTGGCATTTAGTAGCACAAGGCTTCTGAGGAAAGAAATTGCATAGCAGTATTGATAAATTTACTCTCTGCTATCTAAAATAGTGGAACAATAAAATCCATATATTTACCAATGCATAATATGGATAATCTCTATATTCTCAGAAATAAAGCATTTTTCCATTTTCATATTTTTTTAATCCCTACTAGATGAGCTTTCCTTTTATGACAGTCATACTTTCCTCTTAGAATTTTAAATGCTATCTTTGGTAACTCTGCTCTGCAATAGTTGAAGTAAAAGCAACCAGAATGTAGTCATAATGGTTTAAATATAGCCATTTCCCATTTTTACAGAAGCATTACGATATTGGTCAATTTTTCTACCAACCCATTCCTAATTATTTTTGTCATGGATTTTGCCTTTTTTCATCTCTTTCTGGGTTGGTCATTTTACTCAGGCTGTCATCCAATTGTCCAGTTTCACTTGTCGCTTTGGGACATTCTGGTTCATATTTCATCAGTGAATATATGTCATGATGTGTCATTTT